GAAATGGTGACATCTTGCAGAAACCGGGGCCATTCGTATTTGTATGTAACCATCAGGTATCTTATGATATTTTTTACTAGCCCATATGTTTTGTGGAGATCTTGTAGCGATAGTTTCTCTATTATCGATTTCGAATATCGTCTGATGGCGAATAAATGATGTGCGAATGGTAAACCTCATTTCGTATCGTGCTATGCTGCAGTCTACATTATAACATGCTGAGATTTTATTAGATTCAGTCAAATGTGATTATAGCTATTTTATTTGATGACACAAGATCAGTCTTCTGTATCTCTGATATTTGTTTTACGATGCGTACGAAAAATAGGAAAGTAATTCTCGTTTTCGTTTCAGCTATTAGGTTTGTACATTTGATCTGGATAATGTTTTCATTTTTTGTTCTTGTTTTTCTGAAAGAAGAAAGAAGAAAAAAAAATGAAAGAAACACGCATCATAACGAACATTTAGAGCGTATGCGTTTTATAGTGCATTTTTCAAATGTTGTACGGAAAAACTTTAGTCTGGTAACTTTAGGGATAATTTTATGAGCATATTGAATTAATCATTATACATAGATTGCAGAGTTCGATCGATATTGTTGTGTTATCGCATTTTTGGCCTTCCAAATGCACGGTGATGATGAAAAATTCATTAAAATATGTACCGTTTTTCAATTTTGCATCATTATTGGTAAGTTGAGTAAGGAAAATATGCAACAATAATTAAAATTATTATGGGGATAGAATGTGTTTACGATTTTTCCTCATTTCATTTCGGTGATAGCCTTTAAATATGAACTTAAAATTGACTTGCGAAAAGAAATTGAGGAATCACTGTGGTAGTATAGTTTAATTCTCATATGAGTAAGTAATTATTTTGTGTGGCTTCTTATTTTTATTTTTTATAGTCTTGTTATCCAGAATAAAGGAGGCTGCAATGCTTTGAATTCGGTTGAATTCATGAAAGAAATTTTTTAGAGTCGAGCAGTATTTGTCGATCGCTTCAATCGAGATAAGGCTATACAGTCGTTAGAAGAGTGTGCAAAGAAGGTTACGGAGCAGAAGCTGAGTGTTTTTATATTTCCGGAAGGCACCAGAAATCATGGTGATGGAATGATTGAATTCAAAAAGGGCGCTTTCAACTTAGCTGTTTTTGTAGGTGTTTCATTCTTATGTAAACGAAAATGGTTATGGTGCATAAAATTATATCCATCTGAAGTACTATAAATAATTGTAATATTAGTATGGACGGTGCATATTTATGTTCCAAATAATCAACGCATTAATTCTTTACTTCTTTGGGTCATGGATTTGTTGATGATATTCTCGATTATTGGTGACATATTCTTGGTGGCTCATATGCGATTATGTGATTGATTATTATATACATATATTGGCTTTTAATCTGCTGCAGCAAATAAACTTGTGTAAATTGACTTATGGATTTTTCAGGCGCAAATACCAATTGTACCAATAGTTATATCTTCTTACAAGCAATTCTATAACAAGAATATGCGGTATTTCGCAGATTCAGGCTACGTTATTGCGGAAATTATGGATCCCATACAGACTGTTGGTGTATGTTTTTAGAGTATTTTCATTTGGCTCTCTCGAAAATGGCTTTATTATGTGTGTATTAAGTGCATGTTCCCTTATATCCGTTAATATACATACATATATAGCTCATTCATGATTTGTTCTTTATTTTAGAAAACAATTCAAGATGTTCCTACATTAACGGATGCGGTTCGTGCTAAAATGTTCGATGAATTTGCTAAAATTAGTAGAGAAGCAGCCGAAGAATTTAGGAATCGGCAAGAACAGATCAGTGAGATAAAAAAAATCTGTTAAGGATTGGTAACTACAAGAAAAATTATTGAAATCTCGCACTATTTTCGTCATCCTATATCATTTATGTGGGTTTTCTTAACTTTTATTTTCTCTTTTTTCAGTGCTGAATACTAACATTTGTTTTTTCCACTGTCATTTTGTACTGTATCGATGTTTCTTTAACGAGATTTGGTAGCGTCGTGTTCTGAAAATTCGTAAGCACTATTATTATTATTATTATTATTATTGATAAAAATTTCTTTATTGTGTTTTTTGAGTCCTGCTTGATTAGTTTTAGACGTATGAAGTCTTCGAAACGTGATTAAAATTGTTCCATCAGTCTCGTTAATTGTTTCTATTACTTTAGTATTGATATGGAATACATGACTTTATCATTGAATAATACTGATTTGAGCATTCATTCTCATATTTCATTTGATATATATCTTTCACAACATTTTCATGCCATTCTCAGTTTAATTTTGAAATTTATGTCATTTATATACACTTTTCCCCTTCAAACATCATTTTGTTAATTTGTATTTTTCTGATAATGAATACAAATTTTATATTACTCTGAAAACTACAAATATCATTCTTCGCAGCTGAAGTATTTCATTTTCTGTTAGAAGCAATGTTTTCAAAATAAACAGGTCAAGTTGTGTAAATGTTAATGGAAAAGATCAATTGATAGCGAAAACAAAAAGGTCAGTAAACTTCTACATTTTATGGGTTATTTGTAACAATTGTTCAAATTATAAAATAAACTTC